TGGTCATTAAACAAAATAAAAACACCACCCAAATTGTATTTTCATCAAAAGAATGGTCAATTTTAACACAAAAATGCTCTGATGGCCATATTTTTATACTAAATTAGTATATTTTATTGTATAACAATTATTGTGTATATATCATATCAATTAACAAGTTTATGGAGAGGGGTCAGTTTGGTCTCACAATAGACTAGCAATAATTTGGTTCAAACTCGCATTTAACACTTACAAATAAAAATAAATATCACTGAATTGTAGTATTAAATGACGAGTTTATCTTATTTATATGTTAACTTTATACATCATTAAGTTGCCACATTACACGTCAATGTTACACAATAATGTGGCATCGCTAACATTAATCTTCATACACTTTAGATTATACGTATGGGCAAAGGAAAATAAAAGCAAGGTTCCTTCGACTTATTTGGCACTCTAATTACCAATCAAGCATTTTGACTGCAACTATTTGATTACCATTAGTTAATAATGCATGATGTTGCACAGAAAATGTCTTTTCTCTTTTACAACAAGCAAGATGCAAAACACATATAATATGTTCATAATCTTTCGTTAATCTATCACTCGTTTGAAAATCGTTTTAAAAATGATTGAAAGCGCTTTTAGCTAAAATGTTTTTGAATTTCAAAAATACTCGAAATGCTTATTGTAAGAAACACATATTCAATTTCATTATATTTCTATAAGGATGGTTTCAAAAAATATCTTTAACTATTTTAAAACCACAATGTATTACTAAACTATTAAATAATCTTAATTAATATAAAGGGATACCTATAAGAAAGAGCTACTACAGCTAGCAGTAGCCAAAAGCACTTTTGAAATCTTTGCTTTTGATGCTGTAGGCGTGGAGGGTGATGACCTGGGAAGGAACACATGCTTTTCTTGAACATATCACCAAACATAATCATACTGCCAAACATGGCCTTTCATTCTCTTTTTTCAATCAGAACTGTAGAACTGGCCTACTACGTACTATTAATTCACAATTCACAACAATTAAACTTTATTATACTAAGTGGAATAGGTTGTATGAATTCTATAACGCTATTGTGCTAGGTTTTGCGCTATATCTTCCGTTAGCTTCAAATACTCAATATCTTTTCTTAAAGTCTATTTCTAAGTCTGTTCCGATCTTCGCCTTTTCAAGTACTCTATATCATTTCTCAAAGTTTAATTCAAGATATCTCATGCAACATTCCCTCGTGCTAGGGCTTAAAGTTGTCTACGTGCATGAGTAAAAGAAAGCTTTTCCATCATTGTTCATTACCTAATTAATTAGCTACCATCTTGCCGTTCCGTCTCCTCCCCATCACATAAAGATTAAGGAGCTAGCTAGCTGCTAATTTCCTTTTTAAACTGCTAATCTCACAACTCACGTTGTGAAGGCAAAGCTTCGAGGATTCTCCATGGACAAGAACAACCCAGCGTATGCCGGTACGCACACAAAGAAAGTTTTAGGTGTAACCGGTTCAATTGTGTACATAATTGAGTCCATCATTTTCAGACTCGATCATCATATGACTAGTCATGCATGTGACGAAATATGATTCTATACAGTTTGTGATGTTAAGGGTACACATATCATTTTTCTTCCCTTCTCTTTATATCTACAATGATGAGTAGTTCATGTATCAAGAAGTAGCACCCATGTAAGCAAAAAATGAGCAATTGAAGTCTTACGTCAAATGAAAAGAGGTTATCTGACGGTTAGATTGACGGAAGAGTCAATGATGCAACGCTTCCTAGTTTTTTTTGGTAATTTGCAAAGGTAAAGATCGTTCACTTTCACTCCATACTTTAGTTTTAAAGGGCTGTTTTTGCTAATTATCAAATAAACATAGACCAACCTAACTCTTGCATAGGTCCAAAATGAAGAGTTCAATCTTAATCCAACAATAGGTGGTCATTTACTTTTTTTTTTTTTATTCGATCTTAATCCAATAGTAGGTGGCCATTTACTTTTATCATTATAATTTCTACTTCATTGTTAGATTAAGATTGAATAATGGATAACGACAATTTTCTTGGATTATGAGATTTAGAAGAATAAAACTCTCAACAAATAATTGACCCACAAAAATAAAAGAGTTTTGTCAAAATATTGTGGGCCTGGTCTGAAAACATACAATGGCCCAAACTAATGTGAAGCCTGAAGACCAAGGCCCAGGATAACGGCCCAGATCCGATTTCTAGAATCGGTAACGCAAAATACATAGGGAGATCCGTTTACAACTAACGGAACAACTAACGGAATAATTAGGGGAATTAATTAGAGCAATTAGCTGAAATTACTCATTTGACCAAGATTGTTTTCTTGAGCAACACGGGAGGTTTTGATAATTTTCCAATTAAAAACAAATTTTATATTTTTGAGCCTTTGACTTGACCGTATGTTGTCAGACTTGCCATATCAGAGGCATGCCTCCGTCCACGTCGACACAGCCATCAGATTTAATCCCCAGCTTCTCCCTCAACTTTCCGCTTTACAGCCGCACCATCATAACCGCTGGATGAACCAAATTTTATGTCTATTTGTTTTGGGTGGAGCCATCCAAAACGGTTTTTTAGCTAAAATAATTGTTAAGGTTAAGATAATTTTTTATCTTGGTATTTGAAATTAAAATCAATAGAATTAGTTCATTGATAATTATTTTGAACATTTTGTGAAAACTTTTTGTTAAATTAAGAAGAAGAAAAAAAGACATGAATACGCTCAATTTTTGTCAATCATTTATTAAACCGAGAATATTTTTATCATTTTAGTACTTATAAATATAGATTTTTTATGGAATGACCAAAATGATTTATGATGGACAAACTCACTTTTATTGGTTTCAAATCTCAAGGACCAAAATGAGAAATTATGTGAATCTAAAAAATCATTTGGCTAAAATGCCATCCAAAACTAATTTTTATTATTCACATACTCCTCCTAATTTACAACTGTTGAGTAGAATAAATTGATGAGGATCAATCCTGTCACATCCCGGCCCGGGACGGATCACTTCCCGGGCCCGCTTCCACTACCGTAGCACGATATTGTCCGCTTTGGGCTCCAACCACGCCCTCACGGTTTTGTTTTTGGGAACTCACACGAGAACTTCCCGATGGGTCACCCATCCTGGGAATGCTCTCGCGCGCTACTCGCTTAACTTCGGAGTTCCCATGGAACCCGAAGCCAGTGAGCTCCCAAAAGGCCTCGTGCTAGGTAGAGATGGAATATACATATAAGGATCAGTCCCCTGGGTGATGTGGGATGTCACAATCCACCCCCCTTAGGGGCCCGACGTCCTCGTCGGCACATCACGACCAGGGTTAGGCTCTGATACCAAATTGTCACATCCCGACCCGGGGGGGACCACTTCCCGGGCCCGCTCCACCACCGTAGCACGATATTGTCCGCTTTGGGCCCCGACCACGCCCTCACGGTTTTGTTTTTGGGAACTCACACAAGAACTTCCCGATGGGTCACCCATCCTGGGAGTGCTCTCGCGCGCTACTCGCTTAACTTCGGAGTTCCCATGGAACCCGAAGCCAGTGAGCTCCCAAAAGGCCTCGTGCTAGGTAGGGATGGGAATATACATTTAAGGATCACTCCCCTGGGCGATGTGGGATGTCATAATCCCCGCCCGGGGGGGACCACTTCCCGGGCCCGCTCCACCACCGTAGCACGATATTGTCCGCTTTGGGCCCCGACCACGCCCTCACGGTTTTGTTTTTAGGAACTCACACAAGAACTTCTCGATGGGTCACCCATCCTGGGAGTGCTCTCGCTCGCTACTCGCTTAACTTCGGAGTTCCCATGGAACCCGAAGCCAGTGAGCTCCCAAAAGGCCTCGTGCTAGGTAGGGATGAGAATATACATTTAAGGATCACTCCCCTGGGCGATGTGGGATGTCATAATCCACCCCCCTTAGGGGTCCGACGTCCTCGTCGGCACACACGCGGCCAGGGTTAGGCTCTGATACCAAATTGTCACATCCCGGCTCGGGGCGGATCACTTCCCGGGCCCACTCCACCACCGTAGCACGATATTGTCCGCTTTGGGCTTACCATTCCCTCACGGTTTTGTTTTTGGGAACTCACGAGCAACTTCCCAGTAGGTCACCCATCATGGGATTGCTCTAGCCCTCTTATCGCTTCACTTCAGAGTTCCCATGGAACCCGAAGCCAGTGAGCTCCCAAAAGGCCTCGTGCTAGGTAAGGATGAGAATATACATTTAAGGATCACTCCCCTAGGCGATGTGGGATGTTACAATCCACCCCCCTTAGGGGCCCGACGTCCTCGTCGGCACACACGCGACCAGGGTTAGGCTCTGATACCAAATTGTCACATCCCCGCCCGGGTGGGACCACTTCCCGGGCCCGCTCTACCACCGTAGCACGATATTGTCCGCTTTGGGCCCCGACCACGCCCTCACGGTTTTGTTTCTGGGAACTCACACGAGAACTTCCCAATGGGTCACCCATCCTGGGAATGCTCTCGCGTGCTACTCGCTTAACTTCAGAGTTCCCATGGAACCCGAAGCTAGTGAGCTCCCAAAAGGCCTCGTGCTAAGTAGGAATGAGATATACATTTAAGGATCATTCCCCTGAGTGATGTGGGATGTCATAAATCCCTTCCCAAATAAATCAACACAATAAAAGGACAATTTTGCTTTTTGCTTCTTTTTTTTTTTTTTCTTTTCTTTCATTTTCTTTGACTTTAAAGCCTTTTTTAAATATGTTAAAAAAATTAAAAATAAATTGACCGTAGAAAGTATATAAGACAGTATCTCCAGGAGAGAATGGTGGCAAGAACCGCACTGAATCCTCCCAAAAGTATCAAAATCATATTAAATTTCCCAGAACGTAGAAGTAGGGGTTTTGATCAGAACGTTCTGCAGGTCACGTGCAAACGATGAAGGCGCTGACACGTGTCCCAAACACGCGTGGGGGACAATACAAAGTAGGGCGAAGAGAAAAAACAGCTGATTCTTTGCGGGCATCCTTCTCCCCAAGTTGGTTGGAAAAAAAATAAAGCACCAGTCTTAACGGCAGAGAGAGCAGAGCCGCCACCATCCCCCTCTTTCTCTCTCCAGACACGCGTCAAGAACGCAGAAGCCCGTTCACCATTGCAGGTAGTTCTCTCTCTCTCTCGCTCTCTGAGTTTTTTTTTTTCAGTTTTTTTCTCAACTGGTTGTGTTCTGGTTTGCTCGTGAAAAAGTTATTTGGATTTTTGATGAATTTTAAGTGTATTTTTTCGTGTTTTTTGGTAATTGAGAACCTGGGTTGTGTTGGAGAAGTCTCAGATGTCGCAAAGATTGGTTCTTTATCTTGTTTTTGTGCGTTTTTGTTTTGATTAACGTTGGAGGGTGGCTTTGCTGGTCTCAAAGTTTCGATCTTTGTGTTTGGAATCGAGGATTTTCATTGGAAAATGTGGATTTAAGGTTGTAGATTGTTTTGTATGTCTTGATGTTTTGTTTGTCATTAAGAAAATAGAACATAGAGATTTTAGTACTAGAAATTTTAACAGTACAAAGAGAGAATGAAAATTATGAATCAATAGTATATGCTGAATTCTAGGTATGTTAGTGATGTTGTACAATTGAATGATGGAATGTGTTATAGGGTTACGCCAGCGAAACATTTAGAGCGAGCCACTCGATTGATTTCAAGAGAGATGCTGAAGACTGTTTTTTGTGTCCGCTTAGGAATTTTCGGTTAGTAAATTCGCTTGAAGAAGAATGTATTGATGAAAGGAATTTTGAAGTAAATTTGTTTGGTGGTATTCTATGCAGGACATGCTGCATGGAATTGTTGCGATTTACAATGTCTTCTTCAGACGTGTTTTCCTGAAGAAGTCATTACAAATCACATTCGAATTTAACGTGGTGTTTCTGAAGGTTCTACTAACCAATGATATCAAAATCTAAGAGCACTGGTTGAGACTTTACCATTGCTGGAACAGAATGGTATAGACTGCAACCTCCATTTGGGATCACTGTGCACTTTGAGGATTTCAAGACTACTTGTTAACAAATTGGAAAATGAAGTCTAACAATACTATCGATATTGTTGTCTAATGAGTTCATTTCTTATTGATGGGAATGAGTGATATCTTCCCTGTTGAGCAGTTCGTCTTATCTAGGGACGTGTATTCCAGGTATCAAGGGTTCTGGATATCCATATATACTTTTGATGCAAATTTGGTTTGATATCCTGTCTGACCAAGATTCACATCAATTATCTGTTGGGTAAATTGGAAAAACTGGTACTGACTTGTAGTTGACTGCCTGTCACTACTCAGTACTCACTAGCATTTTCTTTTATGATGTTAGAAACTTAGAAATGTTGTTATGTTACTAATTCATTATCCATTCTTTTTATGCAGGCGATACCCTGTCTGTAAATTATGTTGCGAGCAAAGCAATTAAGTAACCTTTCAAGTAGTGCGAGGTCATTCTTCCTTACTGGGCCACGATGTAGTGCGACGGATGGAAATTCATGCTCTTGCTCTGAAGATGAAACTTGTGTTTCGCAAAGGCAGCTAGCAAGAGATGGAGGTCTACTTGCCCAAAATCCATCCACCATGGTATCCAAACCTTCAGCGAGGGCAGGAACCATCCTCTTGGGAGATGCAGTAAAAGTGGCAGGTCCTCGTAAGGCTGGAAGTGTTGACCATACAGCTTCTATTAATCAGGTTGCAACAGCACCAAGATCTTTTGGGAGATCGGAGACTGTAAGTTATGCTAGTAGCACGGATGTGGTGCACTCATCACCTCTTGTTGCAGACCAGTTTGCTAAGGCTGGAGTTGCAGCTGTAAATTTTCTGTCTGATATAGTAAATGGCAAGCTTCCTTTATCTGATGGGCTTGGAATCCTTAATAACTGTATGGTTGATCCGACCAGGCCCCTCAACGGTATCAAGCCATCACATGTGAAACAAATAAAAAGAGAACATTTCACTAGTGGTCGTCCAAAACCTGCTACTGAGGTATCAGCTGCATCAAAGCCTACAAGTAATAATCATGGTCCAAAGGGCAAAGGTGAGAAATCCAATTTCGTTAAAGGTCTCAATCATGTTCCATATACTAGGACGGAAAGCTCAGCAGCACCTCATACTGTATACTCGGACCATCATGAGCAAAGGTCTATGCCACCGAAATCAAAACCTCATTCAAACTTCATTCCAAATTACAGTTCCAGTGCGCAGACCTCTGATGCAGAGACCATGGGTCATGCGACTCATGCCATTAAAAGTTTCAACAGGCCCATAAGAGATGTGAAAATGCCAACAGGAATAGCTCGCCAAATCAACAGACAATTTGCTCACACTGGGAATGTTGTTCATAATGTTTCTCACATACTGCAACAGACACGATGGGGTCCTGCTGCAGAGGCCGCTATTGAAAATCTCAACTGTTCAATGGATGCATATCAAGCAAACCAAATTTTGAAGCAACTTCAAGATCATTCTGTTGCGCTTGGATTTTTTTATTGGCTTAAGCGGCAAGCAGGATTCAAGCATGATGGGCACACTTATACCACCATGGTTGGGATCCTTGGTCGTTCCAGGCAGTTTGGTGCCATTAACAAGTTGCTTAATCAGATGGTGAAAGAAGGATGCCAGCCAAATGTTGTGACATACAACCGTCTGATTCATAGTTATGGCCGTGCAAACTATTTGAAAGAAGCAATGAATGTTTTCAATCAAATGCAAGAAGCGGGATGTGAACCTGACCGTGTTACCTACTCCACACTAATTGACATCCATGCAAAAGCTGGATTTCTTGACGTTGCCCTAGGACTATATGACAAGATGCAAGAGGCTGGTCTTGCTCCCGACACATTCACTTACAGTGTTATGATCAACTGTCTTGGGAAAGCTGGTCATTTAGATGCTGCTCATCGGCTATTTTGTGAGATGGTTAATCATGGTTGTGTTCCCAATTTGGTCACCTACAACATCATGATAGCTTTGCAGGCCAAGGCAAGGAATTATGAGACTTCTTTAAAGCTCTACCGTGACATGCAGGGTGCGGGATTTGAACCGGATAAGGTAACTTATAGCATAGTAATGGAGGTCCTTGGCCACTGTGGATATCTTGAGGAAGCTGAGGTGATTTTTCATGAAATGAAACGGAAAAACTGGGTGCCTGATGAGCCTGTTTATGGTCTTTTGGTAGATTTGTGGGGCAAGGCTGGTAACATAGAAAAAGCCTGGAGTTGGTATCAAGCTATGCTCCATGCAGGTTTACGCCCTAATGTGCCTACTTGCAATTCTCTGCTCAGTGCGTTTCTTAGGGTGCACCAGCTGTCCGATGCCTATAACTTGCTGCAGAGCATGATGGGTTTAGGTCTGAACCCTTCTTTGCAGACATATACATTGCTTCTCAGTTGTTGCACAGAAGCACAATCACCATATGACATGGGATTTTGTGGTGACCTGATGGCAGTCACAGGCCATCCTGCACATAAATTCTTACTGTCTATGCCGTCGGCAGGACCTGATGGTCAAAACGTGCGAGAGCACATGAGCCGGTTCTTGGATATGATGCATAGCGAGGATAGAGAAAGCAAGAGGGGGCTTGTAGATGCAGTAGTCGACTTTCTTCACAAGGCAGGACTAAAGGAGGAGGCGGGTTCAGTCTGGGAAGTGGCTGCACAAAAGAATGTCTATCCGGACGCCATCAAAGAGAAAAGCTCATGTTATTGGCTTATTAACCTGCACGTCATGTCCGACGGTACTGCTGTGATAGCTCTATCAAGAACACTCGCATGGTTTCGCCAACAGATGCTAATTTCCGGGATTTGTCCAAGCCGGATTGATATTGTGACAGGATGGGGCCGGCGGAGTAGGGTTACAGGATCATCTTTGGTTAGGCAGGCAGTGCAGGAACTGCTGAAAGTTTTTCGCTTCCCGTTCTTCACTGAAAACGGCAATTCTGGTTGTTTTGTGGGATGTGGGGAGCCTCTTAACAGGTGGTTGCTCCAATCTTATGTGGAGCGAATGCATTTATTGTAGGCGGTAGTGCTTCTTCCTCTCTGCCATTACCGCGCGATTTTTGTTGTCCTCGGCGGGGAAGATGATGAGCAGGGTTGGGTTGATTTAGGCATTTATGTATTATGACTGTATCTTTGTTGTTCTCATGTGCAGCTATTTTCAAGTCAAATAAAAATTGTTTTAGTTTCCTCAGTAGATGAGATTCTTAGCTATTTTCGGTTGTATACCGTTGTCACTGTTGCTTTTTGTTACATGAACCGAGATATAGATCTCATAGAATGTACAACAAAGTTACAAGGTAAATTCTTTTTCGCTTGAGCTCAAATTCGAAGTGTATTTTGTAGAATTATCAGAGAGACGGGCCATACGGTCCACTTCCAACAACAACGATATTGTCTCCAACTTGGTAATTACCACCTGCCCAATCCGTCAGCTGTAGGGTTTTATCACAAAAAGTCCTCGGTATTAGTTGGAGTGGGATTTTAGGATATTTAAACTCTTCTTTTCTTATTGATACGGTCGATGTGGGACATTTTTGGCAATATCTCAACCATAATGTTGAAGCAGGTGCATGCTTTTATTGAAATTGAACAAAATGAAATTGGCCACGAGAGATGGAGAGAAACTTCGATAGCGCCAGGTAGTTTGGTGTAGTACGCAGAATCAGCTTTTGTGAGATTGATGGGGCTATTAACTATTTTACTTCAGCTGCTGGTTGTTATACATGATGCCCGTCCATATAAAGCAAAAATGAATTTTCATGTTTTATTCTGTTCTTTAAGTGTGCGTCGTCCCTTTAATCCTACCTAATTTGATTGAGACTAATACTTTTTATTTATTTATTTTACTAAATCTAGTATGTTTATTTATTAAAAAGAATTTGCATTTCGTGATACGAAAGAAAAAAATTGAACACAAAATTTCAATTATCAAGTGTACGAATAAATACGCTTAATCATTAAAATTATGAACGTTTTGTTTCATAAAAAAAAAAGGTCTTGTAATGGAAATTTTTTTTTGTTATTCTGTTTAGAAGATTTCCATCCAACAGAATAATTTCTTTTTCCATGGGGTAAAACCGTAAATAAAACTTCTACTTGTTTGAAAGAAGAGCCTTCTCAAGGAAGTAAAATTTGATTTGATTTGATTTTTTTTTTTTTTTTTTTTTTGTACTTAAATCAAAGTAAGTATCTAATCACCAACATTACGGTTAGTAGAATCCATATTCATCTTGTGAGCGAGACATAAATTTTGACGATTATAGATTCCAATTCACTAACATTACCGTTAATAGAATTCATTTTTATTGATAAAAAGGGTTTTACAAATACATATTACGAAAAACTCAGCTCGAAAAAGTGTCTTTGAAACTAGGTTTAAACATATTACAATATAGCATCACTTATCGCAAAACAATTAGTAGACTTCAAGTACTTGTCTTAGCTTATCGAAAACCACAAGATTACACAGATCAATAAAACTATTAAATATTGTATTACACGAAGATCATGTGAGAACAAAATCTCAGATCATATATCGGGACAGGAAGTACAATGCCTATGGGTCTATCGCATCAAGTAACCACCTCCACGATCTCAAAACACCAAATTAAGTACATCTAACAAATCAAACAGCGCCACCTAACAAGTTAATACCAAATTATTATGCCTGACCCGTTTGGGGAGAGAGAGAGAGATTGCCTTACCCCACTATCCCAATTAAAACCATAATTTAGCCAAAAAAAAAAAGATAAACCATAATTAAGAACAATTTTAACGGACTCCTTTCACCCTTAATTATTTCCTCATCAAACCTCTAATCCCCTCCTCCCTCCTCCATGACCGCTGCTACCAGTATGGACTAGGTAGTGTCCCTCTCTCTCTCTCTCTAAAATCGCCGCCGACCACTCATCGCCTCCGGGCCTTGCGAAATTCCAGTTCTACCCCCACCATCGTTCCCCAGTAAGTACCCCTACAACTTTCTCTCTCTATACATATACATGTATGTATAGGTGCACGTATATACAGATAAAATAGAGATATAATTTTTTATATATACATATATATGCATGTGAGTTCGGGATTGGGAGAGAGTTCGATACATGGGGCATAAGAAACGAAACGCTGGTCCGCGGCCCAAGCAGTCGCCGGCGGCCGATGGAGACGCCGTCGTTTCGTCCCAATCTGATACTACTCTAGCCGCCGCCGAGACCGATGTTCCACTCCTCTCGAATAACAAGATCGAATCCTCGCCGTTGCCGATGATCGAATCGGACGGCTCGGCGGCGAAGGTGGAATGCGAGCGGGCCCTGACGGCTCTGCGGCGGGGGAACCACACCAAGGCGCTGCGGCTGATGAAGGAGTCGTGCCAGCGGTACGAGAACTCGGCTCAGTCGGCGCTGATTCACCGAGTCCAGGGAACTGTGTGCGTCAAGGTCGCCTCGATTATAGACGACCCCAACTCGAAGCAGCGGCATTTGCGGAACGCGATCGACTCCGCGCGCCGAGCCGTCGAGCTGTCTCCGAGCTCGATCGAGTTCGCGCACTTCTACGCCAATTTGCTCTACGAGGCGGCCAACGACGGGAAGGAATACGAGGAAGTGGTGGCGGAGTGCGAGCGGGCGCTGGCGATCGAGAAGCCGGTTGATCCCGCCAGGGAGAGCTTGCAGGAGGAGAGCCAGCAGAAGATATTGACTGCCGAAGCTCGAATTGGGCACGTGCAGAATGAGCTGAGGCAGCTGATTCAGAAGTCCAATATCGCTTCCATTTCGACTTGGATGAAGAATTTGGGCAATGGGGAGGAGAAGTTTCGGTTGATTCCGATTCGGAGGGCCACGGAGGACCCAATGGAGGTGAGGCTGGTGCAGACCAGGCGGCCTAATGAGATTAAGAAGGCGACTAAGACGCCGGAGGAGAGAAGGAAAGAGATTGAAGTGAGAGTGGCAGCGGCGAGGCTCTTGCAGCAGAAGTCTGAGGTGCCCCAATTGGGCAATGAGGGTGAGAAGGGTGATAGGGGATTGGATTCATTGTCGGGGTTCAGTCAGAGAGGTAGTGAGAGGAGAAAGTTTGGGAACTTGAGGAAAAACGGGTCCTCTGCGGAGAGGAAGGATTGGGTTTTGTCATACTGGAAATCAATGAGTGTTGATATGAAGAAAGAGTTACTCAAGGTTAGAGTTAGTGATCTTAAGGCGAAGTTTAGTTCGTCTAAGGATGGTTTGGCAAATGAGGTTTTATCAGAGGCATTGGCATTTGCGGAGAGCAAGAGGAGCTGGAAGTTCTGGGTTTGTTGTAGATGTAATGAGAAGTTTGTGGATGGTGAGTCCCATATGCAGCATGTTGTGCAAGAGCATATGGGAAACCTTATGCCCAAAATGCAGTCCATTTTGCCTCAAAATGTTGATAATGAATGGACTGAGATGCTGCTTAATAGTTCTTGGAAACCGTTGGATGCGTCGTCTGCAGTTGGAATGCTTAAGGATCAAAGAAAATGCAAGGAGCATGAGTTTGTTGAGGATTTCTACTCTGGGAATCAGAACAAGGATTGTGACGAGTGTTTCAAAGATGCATGGGACTCTTCACCTGAGAAGGAAATGCTTGGGGATAGTCCTAGTAACTGTATTGTTGAGGGAAATAACCATGAGAAACTTGCCCGTGTTGAGTGTGAGGAGGAAACTGGGTTACTTACATATTCTTCTGTTGCAAATGGTTGGCCAGTATCTGATGATTCTGAGCGCCAAAAGCTTCTTGAAAGAATTCATGCCTTATTTGAGGTGCTTATCAGGCACAAATATCTTGCTGCAAGCCATCTTAACAGGGTGATACAATTTACAATGGATGAGCTACAGGCTTCCTGTTCTCAGCTTCTCAACCACGGTGTGGAGCAAACACCTATGTGCATTTTCTTTCTAGGAGCTACCCAGCTTAGGAAAATCCTCAAGTTCTTGCAGGACCTGTCCCATGCTTGTGGTTTAGGTAGATATTCTGACAAAAGTAGCAGTCCTGCAGATGATGCAAATAGCACAAACAAGGGTGTAGAGATTAAAGAGAGGATTGTTCTCAATGGTGATGCATCCTGCCTCATTTTGGATGAGTGTCTATTGTCATCTGAATGTACATGTGATGTTGGTCATCTTACTGTCAGTGAAGCTGCTCCTGCTGCTGTCGTTGGTAATGGAAATGGGGTTCCTCCTGATTCCGATGCTCTGCTGTCCTGGATGTTTGCAGGTCCGACTAGTGGGGAACAATTGACTTCATGGGTACACGCAAGAGAAGAGAAAACACAACAAGGGATGGAAATCCTTCAGATGCTTGAAAAGGAGTTTTACGACCTGCAGTCTCTTTGTGACAGAAAGTGTGAGCATTTAAGCTATGAAGAAGCATTACAGGCAGTGGAGGATCTTTGTATTGAAGAAGGTAAGAAGAGGGAAAATGTCACGGAGTTTGGCCACCGAAGCTTTGAGTCAGTTCTACGGAAGAGAAGAGAAGAGCTTCTTGAGAGAGAGAATGATGTGATGTTCCTCAGCAATAGGTTTGAATTAGATGCCATATCAAATGTGTTAAAGGAATATGAAGCTCTAAACATTAACCAGTTTGGATACGAGGAAACGTATGGTCGTGTGACTTCTCAGTTATGTGATTTGGAATATGGGGAATATGATGATTGGAGGGCCAAGGATTATGCGCATCAGGTGGACACATATGTAGAAGTTGCAATTCAGAGACAGAAAGAACAATTATATGTAGAGGTCTGTTGGTAGATTCTAAGTTGGCTTACCATTTAATTGAAATAATGAATTGGTCGTTGCCATTTTACCTCAGTTGTTCTTTGATGCAGCTTAGCAAAATAGATGTACGGATTATGCGAAATGTTACTGGAATGCAGCAATTGGAAGTTAAGCTTGAACCTGTTTCTGCCCATGATTATCGGTCGATACTGTTGCCTCTAGTGAAGTCATACCTGCGGGTATGTATTAAACAAATTTAATGTTTGTGCCATATTTAAAGGTTCTGAATTTAACAGTATGTATTCTTGTGTCTATACTTAAAGGCACATTTGGAGGATCTGGCTGAGAAAGATGCCACAGAAAAGTCCGATGCTGCAAGGGAAGCATTTTTGGCAGAACTTGCACTTGATTCTAAGAAAGGTGTCAGAGGGGAAAACGATAATTTGAGACATACACAGGAAAAAACAAAGGA